ATTCAAACAATGATTCCTGGAGGTCTGAAGATCACAAAATCCCAAAATACATCCCAGAAGTCTGAAATCTTTAATTTCTTCAGTCGTTTCAGAAAAGAACTACCATTTATCAGAGATGGTCCAGTCTGCTTCAGAAGCATACAGTTAAAATCTGTTTTGTCCAATGTTACTTTGTTGCCACGAGGGTACAGTTAGCAGTTCCCATCCAATCAGAGTCATTAGAATGCGAGTGCTTTAGCTTCCTGCCATCGTTCAGACAATGATAGTCTCCCACATCCACCATCTCCGTCTCAGCCTTCCATGGCAATCCAGCGGGTAACACGACACTAGAGATGGGCCATTAAGTTGTCCATTACGTTTATGACTGGAGGATGTGTTCGGGAGATGTCAGAGAGGGTCGTTTCAGCAGGATTCAGCAATTCTTTGAGTTGAAGGCTGGCGCCAGGATCACTTACAACGTCTGCTTCCTCCACAGACTGTTCCAGGGAAGACTCCAGTTACGACAGATGGGATTAAAACCCACACAGGAGGATTGTTACATTTCATAGCCCTTCCCCTCACAAACTCAAGCACTAATGAAAAGGGCTGTTGGTACGGAGCCTAATGCATGATGTCATCGGTAAGGATCCTCCTTGCACGCACTGTTCTCCTACATTAGGCAGTTATGCCATCTAATGCACACATCAAAGACGGTGCCGCTCCAAAATGAAAAGGCTGTCTTTACATCCCTTCATATAAGATTAGGGCTTGTCAGAACTGATTCCCACTGTCATGTAGTAGAATTTCATGGCCACAGGAGGACCCCTTTGCTGACACCTCTATTCCACTTCATGTGTGCAAACTAATGTACCATTCAACATCATCATTAAAAAACATGTACATGTATGAGGGTGACAGCAGACCTTTGAAATCAGTATTGTTTACTTTCCTACAACAGTAAACCTTGCAAAAGAGGTGATTTGCATACAGAACAATCATGTACAAAATCATGGCTGAAATAAACAACATTTCAGAGAATACAAGGATTTCGTCAAACAGGTGACACAAAAATATTGTCAAGTCACATTCCAAATTTTTTCTGCCATTTTCTACATTTTCTATTATCATAAGATGATTCAACATGTCTGTGAATGTAGCTGGCATAATTGCCAGTTTATTATATCAGATTAGTGTATGCATCATTAAAATTGTGATGTCTTTATGGTTGGTAATAGTTGTCACAAGGGTTAATCAAAAAGTACTACATTTTCTATGTTGGTGTATATTTCACAATTTACACGTGTCTTCTCCACTAGTTTTCTACAAGCAAAGTTTTACAATGCAGTCACAATTGTTGTTATGGGTTCACCACAAAGTGGTGAAACCATATTGCTTTTTCTCATGATTCTCCTCCTTCTTCTTCTCCTCCTGCCATTTCTTTAAATGGATTCAGCTTCTTCATTTTGAGGCCTAAGGACCTGAAATTTGGTATGGAGGTACAGTAGGCAAATACCCCCAGGCGTTTTTTAAATTTTTGTGATACAGGCTTTTAGAATGGTTTTATTTGAGTTTTTTGGCTGTGTTATAGCAAATGTATTACTGAGTTAGTGTGCAGTGTTACCACATTTGGGCATGAGTCATCACAATGGAATGCAGGGCATCAACCAATAGGCATGCAGCTTTCCTCTATTCTCCTTGCTGATTGGCTGTTGGAATTTAACAGGCTTAACTTAATTAATACCTGCACAGAGCCATTCCATACTGACAGTAGGTCTGTATTCAAGTGTTTTGGTAGGTATTTTAAGCTTTCCTGCTCCAGCATTGGAATGCGGGGCATGAACGCTTCTTTTTTCTTGAAAATCAACAGTTTGCATTATGCAATTAAAAATCCTAACCAATAATGTAGGGAATAGCTATCCAACTGTTGTAGTCTTAGTTGTATGTTACTTCATACTATAGTTATATCAATGTAAAGCATTGTTTTCCCTTGTGTTTCTCATTCTTTCCCTGCCATGTCGTAAAATGTGGTGAAGCCATTGCTGTATTTGCTCCAAAGCAAATGTCGGCCTTTCTAGTTAGATTTTGATGTCACAGAATTTTCAAGCTGGCTTTGACAGAACCAACCATAGGCAGGGGTTAAACTCTAAGATGGCCTTTTCATTAAGACAACCGAAATTTATACAACTTATGCAGAACTTTCTGAAGTATGCCCTTAGTCTGTGACAAATTTGACCGGAACCAGCTACCACAGACAGTTACTAGTACATGTATTCACATCACAGATGAACAGGGGAGTCTCCCATACTGTGGACTCCCATGACGTCCTCACAGCCTCCTGCACTGTAACCTTGGGGAAGCAAATGTTCTCTAACCAGATTTCCCATCTTGTTTTGCAAGTAGACCCATCATGACCTTCCAATAAAATACCAGGGAAGTACACCTGCCATTTGCCAAACATGAAGGACCACCGATTGTTCTCACGGCGCCGTGTAATGGCCCGCCTTTTGAGACCCCTGACGTTGTTAAATCAAAGTTTGACACACAGGCCATTTCCATATTGATAACTCCTGTGCAGAAAACCCCCCCTGTGGACTGTATATGCCCTCCTGCCGTCACTTTCCTGTACGCGAGGTTGATTGGTGACATTTGTGTCTAGTTTCAGTGAAAGGTTGGCCACCGGCACATCTTCCCAACACCCCTTTGTCTTAAGATAATGGGCGAGACATTTAAGGCGTCACATCTACGGGGATTGCACCGCCGCTAATGGAACAGTTACGACTGCCAGATTCTCCTGCTGCTTTATAGCCTGTTTGGAAGCTTAGGCGATCTTTTCCTCCAGGAATCGCTGCCAAGCAAATGAAGAAATTGAATTCTGCTCATGCCGCACGGCTTACGTGGGAACCAAGGTCTCTCAGCAAGTGTTATGGATGTTCTCAGACTACAAATTACTCTGGGCTAGCAACTAACTTTAGGGCGTAACTACTGAGCTGGCTGGGGGAGAAATAGCTCCCCCAAAAAATATGTTCATTTCAGTGCCTTATTCATTCTTAGTAACAACAGGAAATAGCACATCATGGACTTTTTCTTCCTAGAACAACTAAATATGCAAGACTGGTATCATGTCTACAAGCACCGGCAATAACTGACATCACCTCTTTCCCCTGTAGGACAATGATGTTGCACTTACGAAGAGAAGATACTAATCATAACCGACTCCGACCACCACCTTTCTTGGGTCAGAGCCAGCTCCTCATCACGAGGTACTGTGGAAAAGACCTCATGCGTGAGAAGGCAACGTAAATGGGTTGGGAACCTTTTCAAGATGGAAAATATGTCTCCGTTACCATGGCCATTAAGAAGGAGTAATCCAGATGGGAATGATGATTATCCGTCTTGCTCAGTAGAACTGGTGCCTGCGATGAGATGTGGTGAATGAAGGATGGCTGACTGCAAGATGAGGGGGAGTGTTTGATGGAAGGCATTAATCTGGTCTTCAATCTGACATGAAGAAGTCAGGGAAAGGGAGGACCATCCAGCTTTTCAACTTAAGTGTATTGATTATGTGCCCAATTGAACTCCCTGTATACATAATCAAGTGTCTTAGCATTCTCTAACAATCACTATTACTGCTCATTGTTACGTTACCACAAAATTCCTGTACATATCTAACTAGAGTCCAAATCTTGCACATACTCAATGCTGTCTACAACTGATAGCTTCATGTCATCAAAATGTTATCATCACTTTGCCCCACTTATCAGAAAACAGCACCATCCCTAACCATATCCACTCAGCTTCTGATCATAAATTCCACCGACTTGAAACGATCCTATCAAGAACCACTGTGGCTACACATCAAATGGACCATTTTTGGTCCAATCTTCCAAAGTTATCAAAGTCAAGTCGTTATGACAAGTGGAGGGTTTGGGAGTGTTGATTGCCAGATTCTTTACTCCTCCGTTCCAATATAACATCATCCTTGAGTTGATGCCGTGTTGTCGTCATGCACAGCTGCTCCTGCAGGCTACATGTAGGAGAGCTGAGCCACTGTCAGGGGAACGTCTGGGAAGAATTGCATTAGGAGACAGGCTGATATAAAGCTGTTTTTGGCTGCAGTCCCGAGCGGCTGCAGAGCTAACCTCCGGAGGTGACGTGATTGGAGAAGATGGAGCGTCCTGTCTTGCAGCAACACTTAGCGGTGCACACACCAGTTCTTCCGCGACAGGGGTCCACTATAGTGCCCGGAAAAAAAGTGACGAAGGGGTTCCGATGGTTCATGTTTGAGTTTACATTTCTCATAATCTGCTGCAAAATGGGATTAGCTACTAACATGGCTGAAAAGTGTAAGAAGTGGCGTGTTTTGGGTGAAAATTGATTTCGGCCGAGACTTACTTCCGGTGTCCTTCCGCCCTGAGCGCGGTGCTTCGGTTTGACCTAGTTTTGCCTTGTATGCGTTCTGGGGGGTGCTGTAGCTATGCCTCGCGCGACGGGCTATTGTGATAATCTCAGTGTTAGGGATTTTCCTTTTATACTTTTCTTAATAATACATAAGGGTTTTCTCTTTCCGACCATATAAGTCATATCGGTGGCAAAAATCTGGGTGATGGGTTTAATTCCACGTGAAAATGGCCAATTTTT